CGCCGTGCACCGACCCAACGTGCCTCTGGGGACATCGGCAAAACTGGTGCATACGTGGCGGTCCGGACAGGGTTAGGCACCTGGAGAAAGGACGTGTCGGCAAAGCGACGCGCGGACGAACACCAGGGCAGCGGAACTTGGTGTTCAGGGCACGCAAACATCAAACAACCTCCAATGTTGGTGTTTTTCAGCGAACCGATCGATCCAAACTCAACAATTTTGACCTTGCTTTCTACTCTTTCCCTCCTGCCTCAAGCGAGGAGATGGAAGACCGCGACGAAGCGGTGGAGCTGCGCCACTGAGGCGCTGGGGCCTCGCGGTGGCTCAAGGTCCACCCGTTTTGTCCAAACGAGTCCGCGTGACAAAACACCACCCACCGAGTCCATCCCATGGTGGTCTGGGACGAGACTTGTCCAGAAAAGTGTCTGAATGACCATGGCGCGAACTTCGCAACTCCAAACTTCCATGGCGCAAGCGGCGGAAACGTTCGTAAAACTAGATCCTCAACTGAATGACAGCAACATGTCCGCGGTCAGTGGGATGGATGGTCCAAACGAACTGTTTCCTTAAAGGACTTGGGAGTATAATACAAGTGAGATCAAGTGAGTAACCCTATACAGGAATGTTTTGGTGTAAACTCCATGTTCCGAACGCCCGCTGCTCTTCCACCCGCAGCTTCCTCCCGGTGCATCCACACCCGGCACCTTCTGGAAAGCGCCGGGCATGAGGCTCTCGAGGCCCTGGGAAAAGTGGATCAGTGGGTGCATGTTTAGCTTCCCCTCCGCGCAGTCAGTCTGTATTGTTTGCAGTAGCCCTCCGCCGGGTCTTCGATATACATACATGTGTACGTTTGATATGTTTGCAGTAGCCCCTTCTTTGCTATTTGGTTTGAGAATATTTGGGGTCCGAGGTTCGCCTTGGAATGATGTTGCTTGAAGGTTGCAGGCGTTGGCAGATTGCTCATGTATGTGTATATATAAATATATATACAGACACAGCATTTCACCCCTTTGAGTTTGATGGTGTATTTATATATTATGTCCTGTCAGAACCAATCTAAATCAATATAGCCTTGACGAGGGTTGAGGGTTCGATCCGCTCTGTGACTCGTCCCATTGTCCTCTTTGGGAGGAAGCAGGGCTGTTGCGGGAGAACGGCCACCGTGGCGCCACGATCGATCCATGGCGGGTGCGAGGGTTGCGAGCACTTCGGGGGCACCGACTCCTCAAGAGAGGAGTCCAGCTTTTGGGTGGGAGGAGATACTTCCGCTTCCTTCATTTCTGTATCAGAAGTCAGGCTTGCAAGTGACTAGGGGTCTTATTTGGGTGAACCATGCACATGTGGTGACCCCACGGACCGCAAACAGTCACACGGAACCGATCTTCAGAGTGACCCACTTCAAACCTCACGCAGTCTCCCTCCTCCGAACCTGCCGAAATGGGGTCCTCGGCAAACCTCCCTTTGGCCCCGCCCGCACCGAACCCGCACGCACCGCAGGCGCCGCACCAACCTGCGGGTGCGGATCCATGACCTGAGTGTGCGAGCACGCACCGAACCAGCGGGGCGGGTGAACGGCCCCCCACAAGGGTCGTCCTCGGCTGTGGGTCGTTCAACCGGTGGACCTTGGTTGACCAAAAAGAAATGAACAGAGACTACTGGGCAGGTCAAGCTACGGGACTAAGGGGTCCCGGTTTTGACCCACAGTCACTAACCTAGTGACTACTGAGTTGGAGTCTTGAGTTGACGGAGACTCGCCTCACACGGGGCTTGGCGAAGGGCCGGCAGGAGTTCACAGAGACAGGCGTTTTGAGGTCGTGTAGAAGTTGAGATGAAACATCTGCCCTCATCAGACCTGGAGGCTTGAACTTCGAACAACTCGCCCCAAAGCCCAACACGTTGTGGCTGATTCCCCCAATGGTCTCGCAAAAAGCATCAAAAAGCGCTTCTTTCTCTCGCTCTGGTGCTGAATCACGAATGATCCCAAGACAAAGCAGCCTCTGGTCCTTCCATCTTGTATCCTTTCATGCTTTTCTCTCCGTTCTCAAGCACTGATCAACTAGTATGCCGCCTGCACTCCAACCACAATCCCAGAGAGGACAAAAATTGGTCGTGGGTCTCTCGGCGATGCAAGTGCTACAGTGGGTTCGATGTCGTTGGCACAATCCCCAATGTCGGTGGTTTATCTGGACCCCTATCTAAAGGGACACCGAATGGGATGCCGCCATCGCACCTCTGGCCCACAGTCATCACCACAAGCGAAGCGAAACGGGGACATCGACGGCCGGCGACCCGGCGGAACCACGTCTGAGCCTTTCCGGAGTCCCCGAGCCGCTCCTGAGCCCCCGAGCCGCTTGGAACTGTTCAGCCTCAGTGGGCTGAGGTCTCCAGGCACGTCTCCAGCCACGTGCCGATGCAAAGCCAACTGAGCGACACTACGCTACGCTCAGCCAACGTGGAATTAGGCTGAAAGTGAAGAAACTCCCAGTCACTAGAAGGCATGCATTCGGAGATTGAATTTGGGCGTTGAATAAACATAAGTTTAACCATTATAATGTATATATAACCATATATACACCGTATATAATATAGAATATATATATATATACTCTTCGCTTGCTCACTTGCTTGCTTGATTTTGTGTAGAGATCTGGGGGAAGTTGTTTTTAGATGGTTTTAGCTCTTCCTTCAGAACTGTGTTAACTGGGTGGCTCTATTTCTATCGCTCGGACCAGGTTGGACCACGCCGTCCCGTCTCCACAGAGGCTGGGCATTCCCACTGACATCGGTGGCGGGCGCCTCGGGCATCGGACGGGCGACTTCGGGTACGGCACAAGTCAGCCATGGCCATGTGAATAATTTGAGAGAGTCAAAACTCAGTGAACCAGCTTCGCTTGATTTCATGTCAGTGTCACTTGATATCACTTCCTGACACCCACTGGTTCCCAGCCAGCTTGGGGAGTGGCAGGCACACGTCAGCTTTGCTCACATGTTCTCACCAAATGACCCAGGAAGATTTGACTTGAGTGACATGCACATCTCCTTGGACGAACTGGTGTCCGTCTGCGCTGGTTTCGCGACAGCTGTGCGGTCCGCCAAACGGCATGGCCTGATCTGCCTCTGTGGCTGTCCAGCAGGGTGTCTACATGGCGCTGCCTTGCTTCCGAGACTCTGCACTTGGTTGTCTTGGAAGCGGACCCCCAGTGGTGATCAGTGTCACTATGGTATACGGGTTGGGCTATGTGGTTTTACTCATTGGTACTGGATGCGACATGGCCAGTCCCATGAAGTATCCCCAATCAATTTCGGGCGATTGAAGTCACTCCTCTGGTGGCCGCATCCTATCGCTTCAAGGATCCAGCCATATCGAAAAACCGGAGTTGCCACGAAAACACAGGCAGCTTTTGGACCGAGTATGTAAGATGAAATGGAGGGTCGTCAAACTCCCAAGTCCATCGGTGTGCAGGTTCATGCGGAAGTTTGCAGTGTATAAGTATGCACAGTATCTATGTGGGAGCTGTTTTTTGCCTACTTAGCGTTCTGTCTCAAAACGGTGTACCTGACAAGCAAGCCAACTAGCGAGTGCCATATAGAATATAATCGTGTATAGATTTATATTACGTATGTATTATGTATGATGCAATGTACACATGTAATATACATATCTATCATGTTCCCTGTTCCCAAAATGAAAAATGGGTCTGCGTCTCTGTTTCACGCAACTAGGCTGCCAGTCGGTTCTCAGCTTTGGTGAAGTACCATGGATCCGTCGATACCGCGGACCGGTGCTACCGTTGGACCGGTACCCCCGGGATCGCCACCTATCAGGTCTGAAGTGGGCACTGACTGCTGGTGTTGCTGACGTTGCATCCTAGACGGTCAAGTGGGAGCGAACCAAAGAATGTGTCGCAAGAGTATTCCAAACTCCTTGAACTTGCTTTTAGGGGCCGGAATAGCGTTTGCTTGAACCCTCTAACTCTGACCAAAAAACCTGGTTATTATTCTATAATCGAAAACATTGCCCGATACATCCCGAATACAATTGTTCATGCGGGTGAAACAATGAAATAAGCCTTAATGAAACAATGCAAAAGCTTGGACCCCTTTCCAATATACCTGAGCTTAGCTTTCGGCTGTTCCACCACCACCATCACCACTACCACTACCATTTACCACTACCCCTTGTACTGAGCCTAGGATAGACTACGATCGATTTAGGTGCTATCTGATATCTCAGCTATCTCTGTTGACTCTCCCTCAGATGCTTCCTGGGGGGAGAGTTGACCGTTTCAGGCTCACTGGTGGTGAAGTGGCAAACGACATCCCGTGGATCACAGAAGGCAGTACACAGTCCATGAACATGTTCCGCAGCAGTCGCGCGCATTTCATATGTGTTCATCGATTCGCTGATTCCTTCAAGTTCGTGTTGATTCCTTCCCTTCCCCTTCCCCTTCCCCTTCCCCTTCCCCTTCCCTTCCCTTCCCTAGCAAGCGAACAACCCACTCAAACCAACGCTAAACGGCAAAACACCGAAATGGCCTGAAGACCCTGCTCCAGCGGCTGGAAATGTCGAAGGGCCTTAGAGGAAACCACTGCGATCGGATCTCACACCTGACCGGTCAGAACCCCGACCCTCGGACCCGGGTGAAGGAGCATCTAGCCATACGACCCGTTTGAGGCGAAGGAGCTGGGCCGATCCATGGGCCGATCCAAAGATCGGATTCTGAGACAGCCTGAGACAGGCCGACGCCGGAACTGAGGAAACCACCCGACGTGTCCCACCACCGGACAGGCTTTTTCCACAGCATCGGTTCGACAGAGAAACGATTTGAGACAGATGAAAATGCGCGGTCACTTATCACCACACTCGAAGGATTGGACATACCCTGCAACCGAAAAGGGTGAAAGAACTACAACCCCAGCCACCTATCCTGGGCTCAGCCGTCATCAGCCGTCGGCCATCATCGGGCTCGCCATCCGCGTTCGCAGCTTCAGCATCAGCATCAGCCTCTCGGCTTCAGCTTCAAGTCCAATGTATCTCCATGCGCTACCCTGTTGAAGGGAGGATCTCCAATGACGTCACCCGTGACCTCGCGAACGGAACGACTGCTGGAGGCGCGGCAAAAATAACGCATAAAAACGCCACGTCGAGGTGGGTGAAAAGATGTGAAAAGTAACCGTGATATCCCAGGCAGGCCAACAAGAATGGGCGGTCATGAGTCATGTCGAAGCAAAGGAACTTTTTAGTTTCAGGCTTCAGGAACTTCGGGCTCGAATTTGATTGCCAATTTTTTTTTGAGTCCTTCTGCCAATACTGCCAATCAAGATTTGCTAGACCTTCCATCAACGGTGCCTCGCCTCGCACCAGAGATCTTAAACCCAACCGCCAAAAAGGAACGAAGACGGACGAAGACGTCGGAGCCGTGTCCATCCGCACCTCCGAACCGAACGGGACCCGGTCCGGTCGGATTCTCAACATGCCACGAGAGTGCAACGAAGGAAACCATGTTTCTACGTTCGCTTCTTGTTACTACTAGTAAGGCACTTGTTACTAGAAGCGATGCACTTGTTACTAGTAGCGAACATTGTGAAACATGCAGATCCTCACAGATCCTCACCTGCCACATCTACCACCTCATCCGGTCGAGAGTCTTCAGCAGAAACATGAAGCAGTCGAGCTGCTCTGGTCACGATTCCCTATTGTCCATGAAACTAAAGGTATTTTAATGTGTGCGTGGAAAGAAATGTTCGGGAGACGCCCTGAAGGGTGTCTCTTCAGCCTCAAGCCGGAAAGCATTGAAAAATTTGTCATGTTTAAGCAAGCAAAGCCATCCAAAAGGCAGAAGGGCTCCCCCGGCCAAAGAAGATCTGATGATCCACAGAACTCGCTGCAGGTTGAGCCACAGTCTGGGAATCTTGGATATTCATTCCCAATGTAAACTCATGTCGTTTGGGCGACTATATCTGGCACTGCCTGGCGCATTAAATACTATTGGTACATCTTGATAGGAGGTTCTCCAATTTAGCACCTGACATCGAGCATAGACCCCTAGTTGCAGGCACTCTGCCTTGATGAAACACTTATATAACCCTGCAACTACCCAAAGCCGGATGCCACAAATGCACATCGAGCACAGAGATTTCATGATTTAATTGTTGTTCCTTTTTTCTGGCCAACAACAAAAAACATGATTATGGTCTGGGCATCTCAATTCGCCCGGTCACGCAGATGTAGTAGGATGGCTGCACCATATCCTTGGCCTTCTTCCCAATCTGCTCCTGGCCATCTTGTCGTTAATCCACCAATCATCTGCCCGTTCCGTGCGACAGACGTAGTTCAGTTCGTGCCACAGTTCGTTGGATGTTCCACTATGTTCCACCGACAAACTTCGAGACCCCGAAGCTTTCACAACCAATCTTTCTACTATACATGGAATCGCTTGAAGTGTCCCTGCATGGTGTGGGAGTCGTGGATGTTCACAGTTCGTGCTCCACCTTTCATCTGAACAAACCAAGGCTTCGGCTTCCGCTCTGCGGGGTTGGAGTACATCCTCCTCCTTCACCAGGTGGGAGCGCACATGTGTCCCCAATGTCAAAGGCCCCTCAAACGAGCAACGATGCCTATACTCGTGCGGAGTTCAACTGGCCCTTGCTGGAGGAGCGTGTGTCTGACTTTTTCACCAGCTACTGACTAGCTATGTATCTTTCAAGTTGGGCAAATTGGGATGGAGATAGGGATCCTTGAGGAACCTTTGGCTCAGGAGTCTGTGGACTCTCCTCCCTCTGATTGACATCCCAGCCACCCTGCAGGTTCACAAACACCCATGGTGTCGCATCACAGGGAGCCCCCATCTTCTCAGCAGCAAGGAAATACCCTCTGACCAACAATAATGGAAGTGAACTTTCCCCAAACAGGTGGTGAACTAGACGAAAACACAAAAATGATGTAAAACACAAACAAACATGTTTTATGCAGGGAGGCTAACACATGCCAAGGTTCACTCTCAGGATTCGCGTCCAAGGTCACTGTCTCATCGCTCATGGACAGCGCATGTTCCGCGGTGACCGTGGCCGCGGCGTCCGCCAGCGCCTGCGAGCCACGAAGGACGCGTCTTCAGGTGCTGGAAGTGCTCCGGTCACTCCGGTCTGATGGGGAAGGCCAGGTACACTCCGACGAACACGTCACATGGAAGTAGAAGAGCCCCCTGCTTGTAAAGGAAAGTAGTCTTCCAAGGAAGCATGCCATCCACTTCCATGTTCTGTGTTCGTCAGAGAGTATATACACTAAGGTCAAGGTTTCACACACCAGGCCACACAGTGTTGTGTAAAGCAAATGCCAGGTCTTGTGTTGAAGAATTCGGATGCCTCATGTGGGTGGCCAGCGATTAAGGAACCCTGTATATACATAGCAAAATTTGTTGCTTTTTTGGCGGATCGAAGAGTCAATCATGTTCTGGTGACCCCAGTTCTGTAAGGCAAGCCATTTTCGGCCTCTGGACTGAACAATTCTATCAACCCTTGATGGGTTAGGAACTGACTTGGCCATGGGCCAGTTCGATCACTTTCCGATGACTGAGCTTGCTAGGAGAAAATGTTCTTCCGCCCTTCTTTCTTTCACCAAGCCTTCTTAGAGGCCACAACTACCTCAATTGCGACATTTCGGCTGCAATTGATGTCATCTACCTCAGGAACAGTTGGCCTTCCGAATCCTGAACAACCTGCGAGCTCAAAGGGGCGGGGAGCTGGGCCATCACATTTGTCACTCAGTCACCACGCAGCCATCGAAGTGCACGCTTCCCACCTGCAAGTTCCTACTCCTCCAACAAATTTATACCACAATATGATGGTCAAAAGGTCCTGTGATAGAGACACTCTCAGATGAGTGTTCCTCAACCCCTTCCATTGGTTGAGACAAAAATCACGTCGTTGTTCGCTGTTCGCCAGGTTGAGCCTCGCTTGGAGAAGTCGGTGTTTGCACATCATGAAAGGCAGGGTTGTTGTCCCAGGGGGTTAGACTGCAAAATCTTTCAGGCACGAACACCCCGCGATACTTTCTTGTTGTGCCAACAAACGCCGCCCGTTTTCGTGGTTCCCCCGTTTTCGCGCTCTGTTCTGGAGGTTCTAAAAAAGAGCCACAGCGAGTCTTCCATCTGGAAATGGACGTCCGGCCTGGTCATGCAGGTACATGACCAGCTTCCCGCTCTTCCCCTGCACCTCCGTGCCAGCCGTCACTTTGACCTCAATCATCAATCTATCTTTGGTCAATCCAGGTGGTCGAAACCCAAAAAATCCCCAATGGCAGAGTGGAAACCTAGCGATGTTAACTTTCAGTGTCTTTCCATGTCTTTCCTATACCCCGTTGGCGGAGAGGTGAAAGCTCAACTAGATTGACCTTCAGGCAATCAAGAAATTAGAGTACTTTTTTGGGCGCAGTAAAGTTTTGACCGTGCCACATCCAGTTAGCTCTGGGTTTCAAAAAGGTATATATATATATATAAAGTCCGGTTCCACTCCACAATGTTGCTATGCGATGCCTGCATCAGCTTTTGGATCTGAAGCTACGGCCATACCTACGAAAACCTTACGAACAAATTGCGTGGAACCCGCAATTATGTCATCGCAGCCGGTTGAGATCGCAGCTTGAAAAGGTAACCCCCCATAACTCGCATTGCAGTCCCAAACCAGATGAAACGAAGGGGACGAGCGATGTTTGTCCGACAGCAACGCAGCTTGGCCACCGCCGAACTTGGAAGAACCGTGTATGAAAAATTGGAGAAATAGGGGCAACGACACCCCCGAGCCTTTAGCGGCCCAAACCCGGGCCAGCCAAGGACATCCCTCAAAGACACCTCCCAGTGGCCACTCGAGAACCGGTGCGACTTCGCCCGACTCACATCCCAGTGGCCGTGACCGAGGCCATGGTCCGGCAAGGCTTAAGCCTTGAGGTCGAGGTCGCACCTCGAAACTGGAGGATGGGTGGGTATGCCTGGTCAAAACAGCAAGCCACAGATGTCCAATGGTTCCAGTTGCCCAGAAAAAAATACGAAAAAGGTGAGTGGTACTGGATGTCGCATGATGTTGAGCCATTTTGAGCCGGTCAATCGAGTCCACACCAACGACGGTCGGACCGACACCTCACGTGTCGCGGCCGCCTGACGCTGTACAGTACTGCCTGTTCAATTGATGGGTTCGTGCTCGATCCCAAGAGAGCCGCAAAACGATGGTGTTGGATGGTCGTGCTTGAAGGCTTCTGGAAAAACGTGACACCCCTGAACCGGGCTGCATCTATCTTCATCTAGTGTTCCTCATTCTGAGGCATGCCTATTATAGCCACAGCAGATCCTCTCTACTTCAGCCAGGCACAAAGAAATGTCCCACAATAACACATAGACTCGGACATGACACCAGAGCGTGAGGACAGTACAAACCTCCTACCCCTTGGCTAACCCAACCCCCCAATGACGCCGCAGGCCGAGACGCACCAACGGTGGCCGTGGCCGCGTTGCTGCAGAATGGCGTTGTGTTCAGAGTCTTTCCAAGATCATCCAAGATCGTTGCGGAAACTGCAGCGAAGTATCCCTTTCGAAAGCAAGACGCCGCGTGTTTCAGTACTTTTAATCTATATGTGATCCAAAACATCCCAAAAACCGGTGTTTTGTTTTGTGCTTTATACAACACGATATTTGCCCAACACGTTTTTCACACGCGCTTTTGGCCTGGCCTTTGGACCCATCTGCTTCCTGTGGTCTCTCTATCTCAGACGCTCGAGCCACGCTGCTGGGCGAAGAAGTGACAGGTTCGTCCAAGAATGACACCTGGTTCCCAGCCTAAACCAGACCCAAAGTGACCTCAGACAAAAAAGGTCTCTTTCTGTGACCGCCACTAAGACCGGCATCTCACAACCGGACCGTCACGAACGGTCGAACTGCTTGGGCCGTTCGTGAGACATGCCGTTCGTGGGATCGGTCACGATCCGCGGATCGGCGGATCCCATGGCACGATGCCAGACATCGTTGTTGGAAGTCACCAAGTAGCGGTTTTGGACTCGGTCTGGCTCTTGAAGGCGAATTCTGCCACCAGAAGCTCGGATGCTTCTCCCTCGAAAGAAATACCAGGACCTTCCCTTAACCACTAAGAGGCTACTTATAGACCCCTCTTGGAAGGTGTCGGTCCAGGTAGGATGTTTGTTTTGGATGTCCTACCGTCCGACCCTCCGAAAGAACACCGTCCAGACCGCGGTCAGACCGTCCGGTCCGGTCCCGGTGTTGACCGATGGACGGTGTCACTCACGCTCCGTTCGCAGCCGCGATGCCAGGAGCCCCCGTTCGTAGCGAAGCTTGCTCCTAGGCCCCTGTGATTGAGTTCCCCAACTTCGTGCATGTCCACCTCTCGACCTGGGGCGGCTGCGGTCACTGCGAGGCACGGTCGAGCCGACCAGAGGCACGGTCGACCCGACCACGCCAAAGGCATGGCCCGTCGCGTCCAGTGAAGGAGTCCAACATCTTCAGAACTGACCCGTGACGTGATTGTTGAATGTGTACCTTGTGGGAGTTTGGGATCATACAGTCTATATCCTCCCTGCGTCAAGCATGATACGCATGGGAGTGGAGTTTTCTTCCGTTTAGGTCTCCGGAAAGGCATCTTCCATGGGATCAGACGGTCCAATACGGTCCACTTTCATGATTCTTTGGAAGGGTGCACATCATTCCATTACAGCATACACAAACCATGACCAACCACATTCAGCTACCTCTTCCTCAAAACGCTTCACGCTCGTCTGCACCAGCACATTGCTACGGAGCACGACTCGAGCAATCCGTGGAAGTCACACGGACTCGTATCGACTGTGACAACAGGCCCGGAATCTTCGCACAAGCACACGTTCTCAACCATCCCGTTCCGTTTTGGTCGCCGAACAAGGGCCAGCGACCTCCTGCCGGTGTTCCCTGTTCCCAGCCCCATCCGGTCAACCGAAACCGCCGAGCGGCCATGGGCGTAAATCCGGGGTGCCCCTGGATCGTCCACGGCTGCTGGCCCCGATTTACTGAGGAAAAGTGCCTGAGAAAAGGGTGGCGCGTCCGAAGGCCACCCCGAAAGGGCCCCGATCCTTCACGGCGTGGCCGAAGAAGGGAAAGAGGAAGGGGTGAGAAGCCCATCAACATGGGGTCCATCTGGCGGTAGATGTGTTTTTTCGTGTTTCTCTGAGATCAGTGTTCATTTGCCTTTTCCATGGTACAGTACTGGCTAATTCCCTACAGTACTGGCTAATTCCCTTCGATGGACAGCAAATTCTTCCTCAGCCCATCCGTTCTCAGTATGGGATCAGGTTTTCTCTTCCAGCCGTGTTGCAATTCCTGGCACTTCGATTGGAGGGTGGTTTGTGCTCAGGTACAGGTAAATACCACAATGGATCAACTCGATCCACTAAGTGGTGCTGGGCGTCTTCGGAGGTATGAATTCTCTCAAAAAAACCATGGAGTTGACAGATGACCTTTGGAAAACTGGGTCCGTTCAGCTGGAAGCCATGTTTGCTTCATAATGTGTCATAGAAGTTTTCACCTGACTGCTTCGAAGTAGGAGAACTAGGGCACCTCCTCTTGAGCAGTACATGGAAACCACCTATATATCAGTGGGAGACCCGGATTTCGCCTTTAAAGAGCAGGAAATTGCCGGATTCAAGGATGGGATGTCCACGCGTTCCCTTCAGAGTCCTCCACCGGAATCTGCCGAGGTGAACCCTGAATCTGGTGTCGCACACACTCTGACATTGGTTTTCAGTTAACTCAATTCCCAGGTGGAAGGAAGGTGAGAGAACCGCATGGCGAAATGTCCAAGCATTTGTAGGTGCTTTAACAAAGAGTTTCTCACTTGACTGCGGAAGCCCTCAGCAACGGTGGAAAGCGGCGGAGGGAAACCTGTTTTTTGGGGAAGTATCGTGAAAGAACCATGAGTCAAACCGAGAACAGTGGAGTCACACCTTGTGCAAACGTTAGTCGCATGTACGTCGATTTGACGTCCCAAATCGATATCACCAGCACACATCCAGTGTCTTCGTTGGTGCAAGACTGGATGGGCTGCTTGCACCCCCTGCGAATGCAAGTACACAAAAGGGAAAGGGACTCTTAGTTACAGAGGTTGACACACACACACACACACACAAAACCTCCGGTCTGGTCGGGAGGGTGACGAGCAACGCCATGCAACGCCATGCAACGCACCCGAGGTCGCCCTTTCAGCTGCAAAGGCCCAAGTAGTCCTTTAACTTTGAAGACGCTTTTGACCCCCACCTCGGCCCAAAAAGGGAACATCAAATAAACTAATTTGAGGGGAGCGACCCACAATTCTTCAAGTTGAACTCGTCTCCTCCGCAACCGTCCGATGCACTTCGCAGTGTGATGCGGGTCCGTGCGGTCCGAACGTTCGCGCCAAGCTGCTAAGTTGGCCTGCAAACCTTGGACGACTGCCTGGGAAGTATGCCATGTCAGTGGCGGAGGCAGTGTGGGGGGGGTCATAGTTTGGAATCTCAAGTTGCTTGTTGCTTGACCTCATGGCACTGGACCCCAAAAAACGGTCCCAATGGGCCTTGACGGGTTGACCGAGTTGGGTGACCGAAGATTCCAGACATCCCAACGCTTTCGACATGGCGAAAGCATTTTTCCTTTCCATCCTACCCCCCCATTGGGGTGCCCATGGAGAAGTCCAGAATCTGCGGGTTCCTGGTCTTCTTGGAGCCATAATGTAGACTCTTTGACCCATAAAACCCCCTGATATGGATGAACGAAGCACTCCTTTGAGTATGGGGGGGGTTATGAATCAAGAGTCTACACTAGTCCCATGTTCGCCCGGTTCCGATCTGCGGTCCAGACCCGCAACGGTCCAGACACTCTCTTGGGTGACGGAGCGCCGAATGCATGGCGGCCTGCTGGTATTAATACAGCTACTAAACCCATAGGGAGAACTATGCCGAGGAGTGATCCATCTGGATCAGTGCAAGGATGTGTTACCGCCCGAAAAAGCCCTGTACGGCTCTACAGGCCTTTCTAAGCAATGTTCACAACCAAAACCCTGGTGAAATAAAAGTTGAAAAGCTACAAACAAGGGGCCTTGAAATGAAACAAATTGGTTGTTCAACAAGGAGTAGGGGTTCAACAAGTCTGAAAGCATGCTCCTGGTGCTGTTGCAGTGCTGCAACATGTTGGATAAACATGGATCAAAAGATCAAGAACACTGGGCAATTCATAGCTGTGTGATGAATTATGGTTCCTTCAATCCACGCTTTGGAACTGAGCAGTTCCAAGATGTGGATGCAGGTTGTGAATTGAGTCCATGTTTCAATCAGCGAGACAATGTTGTGACAATGACAATGACAATGTTGTAGAGACAATGACAATGTTGTGAACCGACGACAATGTTGTGAAACCGGTACCATGAAAAATATGAAAGATTATGAAAGTGCAAATTGCCCCCCTGGTGAGCTAACATCTTGTGATGACCATGCCGTGGCTGAAATGGACTGGGCTCCTAGGAGCCCAGGAACTGAATTCAAAACAAAGCGTGGAACGCTTTGGGCTACTAGCTGGCGGTAAGTAGCCCGAAACTCCGGCGGTTAACCTCGTTTCCATTGATTCAATCAGTTTCATGGCAAATGCTAAATGATGATGGGGTATGGACCAGTATGGAGCATATCAAAGCCGATGCCTGCAAGTACGGATTTACTTCTTTGGATCGACCCATATCCATCTTCTGCCTCTTCAAATGAGTTTTCATGTGATCACCTCACAAATCAAATGGGCTGATGAGACATGCGAGTTGAAGGCTCGTTTTATCAGCTTGGTGACAACTTTGTGTAAAACCACCAAAGTTATCCCGGAACGAATGAACTCTTGCAGGTCCATGTTGATGTTACAGTATATATATAAC